AACGTGTATAGAACAATGTATAAACATGCACAGGTGTTGGGTGTGGTGTGTACAATGTACCTGTGGTTCTTCTCATGTGACAGTTTGCCAACACACTTAAGTTTAAGCCCAAGTGTTTACACGGTCACCAGGAAGCTATCAAGAGAAGGCTTACCTTGGGTTGCCAGTTGCATATAGAGGAATATGCAGGAAGTATGTGACTACATGTATGGATGTGTCGTAATAGAGTAGGGTCTGATAGTATTCTAGGTATTTACAAGATTCCAACATTTAAATCATACTGTGTAAAAATGTATTCAGTTTATTTTCAATAAAAATAAGTTGGGGTAGAAAGCCATACGATTGAAAGAATTTGCTCATCACTTGTATTATCCGGTTGCGATGTTTCCAACTCCTCTGACTATTGTCAGAATCTACCCGGAATAGTTGAATGTCACCAGGATGATACGCCGAGATATTAATGAAATACATGTACTGAGAGCGGCGTCTTTATTTCACGTGAACTATGTGTTTTATACTGGTTTGTCTGAAGCCCAAATTCCGAGGTTTTGTTCTGTTCTCACTCTGCGGGAACCAGCTTGTCCCAAGTTACCTAACGTTCACTCATGACTCATTACGACATTAACCGTTGCTCACAATAGGCAGTAGTATGGTGACGGGCCATATGTTAGTTTCAACCTGGCTGACGTTGTATTGTTTGTCTGCCCCAGGATCGTGTGTCTCTGGTACATCCTGCTAATGCATCTCCGTTCTCCTTCGTTCTGATTTGTCTCTCTTGTGGGAGAGATTTTAGATACCGATATGGCTTTATGCGTAAAGTGAAAGGGTGCTCGTGTTCAGTATGTACAGTATGTATATAATTGGTCGTATTACTCGTATATATGAAAACACCTGCGTCATCTGTCTTTTTGAAAGTAGTGATAAGAATATGACTTCGTCATGCTTTATCTCCTCAAGGCACTTTCTCTCGGATCCCTCCTTCTGCTCCTCCAGACCTCTTTCCTCAAATTACCGCTTCTCAGTCTCGTCCCTTCCTCCCACCCCCGTCCTCTTCTCCTTTGCCGACACTTCACTCGTCTTTCTCCCCTTCCTGTCATTCTGCTTTCGCTTCTTTCTCTAATGGTTTAACTTGCATTCCTTCTTCCAAATCTCAGAAGTCTTTGTTGTTCGTAGTTTTTAATCCTCGTCTACCGGTGAGGTGCTTAATTAATATACATGTACACGTTTTGTCAATTCTGTTTAACGAATTGTAATTCATGCGCATTCACGTGTATATGGGAATGTGGAATTTGAAATCCGACTATCACATTCGGACAATATGAATTGGTATTATGGGTATAGTTCTTTACAGACTGGGGCGGTGGGGTAGCCTAGTGGTTAAAGCGTTTACTTGGCTCGTCACGCCGAAGACCCGGGTTCGATTCCCCACACGGGCACAATGTGTCAAGCCCATTTCTGGTGTCCCCCGCCGTGATATTGCTGGAATATTGCTAAAAGCGGCTCAAAACTAAACTCAGTCAGTCAGTCTTTACAGACTGCTGTCGTATAGCTGGAATATTGCTGAATGTGGCGTTCAACAACAAATAAACGTTTAATAGTCATTTAATGTACAATGTTTGAAAGGACATTATATCAAGTTCGGATATTTTTAACTCAATATAGTTAAGTCACTCTGAAGAGTTGTCAGTTTTGGGTGCCTACGTGAGAATATATAACGTGTTACATATGGGATTACACTTTCTTAGTAAAGTACTGATTCTAGAACTCTTGATGGATTGAGTCCCATCCGGGATTCGAACCCACACCCTCAGACTTAGGCACCTAATCGCCAGCACACAAAGTCACCCGCCTAGCCTGCTCAGCCACTGTGACTTCCTGAAAAATGGAAGTTGGACAACAGGTAGTCTAGACTGCGGACTTTGTGTACCCCTCTGACAAGTGTAAATTGTAAGAACACCTTTGATTAACAACTAGCTGATGAATTCACTTACTCCCTCACTTGTAACAGATAGGCCGACTGCTTCTCATAAAGTGATTTGTTTAAAGAGATCATGTTTGTTTAATCACGTTATGTGCATTGAACTGTATTGAATCAATTCTGCACGCATACAAACGCCTGGTTACGCCATTTGTTGATTAAGCTACTTTTATCAACGGAGACATTCCTTTGTTATCACGCAGCGACGCAACAAGTTAAATGAATATTCAATTCTATTACTTGCATTAAAAACTCGGATATTTAGATTGTCCTATTGTAATACTCATATCATATTCATGTACGAGGTGCTATTTATGGCCGTTTTGATCGCTTGTAGTTTCACGCCTTACTCAGCAATATGTCAGCACTATGACGGCTGTCTGTAATCGAGCATGACCAAGACAATACAGTACCCGAAACCATGGCAACTTATGTACACACTTATCATATTACGATGACAATGATCAACCATGTCGGCGAGTCTGACCCCCTGATCACGTTCCTCAAATCTTACAAGCATGCCGCAAACATTACAACTGCTGAAGACCGATTCTAACCCGAACCTTCAAGGGTCATTTTTGGTGACATGTACGTGACATTTTGGAGATTGACGAAATACCTGCTCATTAAATTTTAACAACAACCCATACATGTCTAGTACCCATTCGCTCTACTCAAGGCTATTATACCAGGGTATTTCCCAGATCGGAGATTTGATCAACAGCTCGAATCTCATTCTACGTGCTTGATCCGAAGTGTTCAGTTTGAAGTACAGTCAAAATAGGAACATCGTCACCAATATAGCTTTACCATTGATAGTCATCATCAGCCTACGTTTTATCCTCTGGCTTCTACTGGACGGGGGGTAATATTGCTCTCGGTACATTCCATTCATTTCTGAACATTTCTGAAATGTAACAACGTAAGCTCTTCCCATTCACAGTGACAGTTGTGTTACAGTTTGCGAACGTGAGAAGACTAACATTTTAATAGACTCACTCTTTTGAAGTGTAATGTCATCTTGACCTTGCGGGGAATGCATATGGAGTCAATACGACTGAAATCCCGAAGCATGATGGGTCACATGTATTAAATCGTGCTAGAAACACAATAGGTAAACCCAGGGAATTATAGTATTACTCAACTGATGGAGATGTTGGAAACACAGGGCGAACTGTGTCTTGTTGTTTTGTTGATTATTTCAACTCGCATTATCCCATCATGAGTAGCTGCAGTTATGTTTGTTAGGCTTCATCGATGTTAAAAGCTCACCCTTGTGGATCCCGTCTGAACTCTTGTCTAACTCTGATAGAGTGAGTGAGTGACAGCTGTGTTACAGTTTGCGGACGTGAGAAGACTAATAATTTAATAGACTTACTGTTTTGAAGTGTAATGTCATCTTGACCTTGAGGGAAATGCATATGACGTCAATACGACTGAAATCCCGAAGCATGATGGGTCACATGTATTAAATCGTGCTAGAAACACAATAGGTAATCCCAGGGAATTATAGTATTGCTCAACTGATGGAGATGTTGGAAACACAGGGCGAACTGTGTTTTGTTGGTTCACATTATTTCAACTCGCATTATCCCATCATGAGTAGCTGCAGTTATGTTTGTTAGGCTTCATCGATGTTAAAAGCTCACCCTTGTGGATACCGTCTGAACTCTTGTCTAACTCTGATAGAGTGAGTGAGTGAGTATGATTTTACGCCGCTTTTAGCAATTTTCCAGCAATATCACGGCGGGGGACACCAGAAATGGGCTTCACACATTGTACCCATGTGGTCAATCGAACCAGGGCTTTCGGCGTGACGAGCGAACAACTCTGATAGAGTTCTGCTGTACGGCATCAGGCAATAAACAAACCCTTGCTCTTGTGGGTAGGTGTTGAATGCTCACTGCTGTCACCTGTGGCTATTACGACATGTAGAGGGCTTTTTCGGCTGGGGATAAAGACTGACTGTATTCTAGCGTTGACCTGATGTGTTTACATTCCAGTGAAGATAATGGAGATAAATCGCCGTTACCAACACCGTTGTCAAAATATCTAGCTGACTAGAGGTTTCCATTCTTTCGGTCAGCTCGACATTTGAAAAATGTTACACATCATAATATAGATCAAATGCAGGAAGTATGTGAAGAGAGCCAAGACGTATGATTCTGGTGGTATATAAGGACAAACGTGATCCTATATAATCTTATTGTATGACTATTTGGGAACAAAACTGATTCGAAATAATTGTAGTAACTGACTATTTAGGGGTCGCCTTGTGGTTAAAGCGTTGGCTCGTCACGCCGAAGACCCGGGTTCGATTCCCCACATGGGTACAATGTGTGAAGACCATATCTGGTGTCCCCCTCAGTGATTTTGCTGGAATATTGGTAAAAGCGACGTAAAACCAAACTCACGCAACACATATTATACATATTTTCTCAGCACTGTAATTAATATATTCTACACTGGCACTGTTTACATATCACAACATAATGAAACATATATTGGAGAAGGCCTCGTAAGTGTGGGATCTGTGCCTCATACATGTGTTTCTTCACAATAAATAGATTTACAAATCACCGGATAGAAGCTTCACTATGAATTGTACCGGTACTGTCCAGATTAGAGAGGTTTCACTGCATCAGCATGGCTGGATTTATTTGCCTTAACTCTCAACAGGTTACCAACCTGGATATCTTGACCTAAATGTTTATCGATAGATAAATATAAACATCGTTTGATTGGCATTCTAGAAGTTGATGCGTCCGTAATAAATCAACTTTATGGATAACAACTTCTTGTCTATTGCAAAGAGCAACGTTTCAGTGTGACACTGGATCCTAACAGCGTTTTCGAGCTAAAAGTAGCTTTAGCTTGAAAAGGGTGTAAGGATCGACTTTTAGCTTGAAAACAGTGTAAGGACCCACACTGAAACATCGATATTTGCAATAGACAAGAAGTTGTTATCCATAAAGTTGCATGCTTCAGTATGTAAACATTTCAATTTTGTTCCATAACACAGAGAGGTTGCCCACGGAAGAGGAGGAGAAATTTCCTGTTGCCTTCCCAGAGTTACCCTGCAGCGCCCGACCCGTCATCACATCTTCCGGAGGGGGTGACCTGTCCCCCGGCTCCCGACCCGTCACATCTTCCGGAGGGGGTGACCGATCCTCCAGCTCATCATTGTACACATCGGCTTGAGGGGTGACTTCTTATCCCCAGTAGGCCAGTACCCCATTCGTCAGCATCCTTCAGCATCCTTTGAGGATCTTCAGAGCTGAATCTTTGACTGTGTTACCACTTCGAACTTTCTAGGCATGTATTCAATGGAACATGTTAAAACATAAAGTTATGTTATGTTACATGTGCTACCCAGACAAAAAATAAAGACAGTGTCACGCATATTTTCATATGACAACTAAACTGTATAGGCTGTTAGTATTGCAATAGCTTTCTACAGCAGTTGTAAGTGGTATCTTGAGTGATATCTTCAGGACCTGTTCAGGGTAGTCTCATAGTGTAACTTGATGTTACTAAGTGCGTGTGATAGTACTGCAGGTTCACAGTGCGTGTTCAGGGTTCAGCTACATTCCTTACTATAGTTAACATGTGTCTACATCGTGACACAAGTATGAATCTATAAACACAGAAGGGTGTTCATTGATCATTTGATATACACCGTGGATTCATTCAAAACATCCGAATAAGCGTTATTACAATTTTCTTAGCTCATTTACAAAACGACAGTATTTCTAGATGTGTATTAGAATGATGGAATGATTATCAAGTTAAGTTCTCACATTTTTGTACATTGTTGCTATTTTTACACACGTACCTATATTTTAATATTTCAACGTCTTCAGTTTGAATTAAATCATTTATTGCATACTAATGGTAATGGTGGTGAGATGCATATGTTTGTGTACACTACCATTGTGGCTCAATCACCACTTTTACATGTTGCTGCAAGCATACCAGTTCATTACTGTTATCCAAAACACCGCTGTTCGTCAGTGGATATCTCATTTTCATGACAAGGGGGCGGTTTGGTAGTCCAATGGTTAAAGTGTCCTTTCCTCACGCTGATTACCCTGGTTCGATTCCCCACATGGGTACAGTGTGAAGCCCATTTCTGGTTGGTTTGAAAATAAGGGCAAATTAAGGGTTATTTATCGAATGCAGTTTGTGCAGTTCAAGAATTTTATGAATCATTTTTATACCAGATTACATTGGTGAATTCCTTCATAACATATATTGGTTCTATTTTCTGTTATTTTCGTTTAACAGTCTAATCTTTCGATGTCATGTGTAGTAATCATTATGACTTTCCATTCTCCATTAGTGGTCTAAGACCACCTTAGAGTTATTCATTTCCTTTCGGTACCACCACCGGGGTACTTTCAGTTTAGAGGGGGACTCCAGGGTCCACTCCACTGCAATGACTTTCTTTGTTTTGTTTACTACCTGTAAGATGTAGTATGTCATTATAGACAATCTATGCAATCTCATGTACAATATAAATAAAACTAGGGCAGTGTTATCGTTTTGGTCATTTTATAATAATTTATACAAAAAATTGATATTATAGTCAAATGTTTTAGCAAATAAAACTTTAAGTATATATGTGTATTGTTTTTTGTATTGATAAGGTCATTGAGACTGTTTTGGTTAACATCACAGGGGCGTGCCACGCTTAGAAACAGCGTTAGAAAGACATATAGGTATATAGACCCTACCCTATTACTATATAAAATGATAGTACTAGGGTAGGGTCTATATACCTATATGTCTTTCTAACGCTGTTTCTAAGCGTGACACGCCCCTGTGGTTAACACTTTGTGGAGATTCTAAGGCAGATTAAATCCGTGTACCCTCTGATCGCCATGAGAGCCGTAAAAGAGGATTAGGTGGTTAAAATGTTTGTCGTCATTGGTTATTTGGCATGGTATCCATTGATAGTTGTTCATACTTTGTGTGGATCATGTCCTGGCTTGTCATGACCATGTCATATAGATATAGCCATGCTAACTGCGACATTGAACAATATTCACCAAATTAATCCATTGATAAGTCAGATGATAGTCTAGTGCTTATATCGATCCAGTTCATGCCACACGTATGTGTACAATCAGACCTCTCAAAACATCAATATTTGTTGTATTACCTTTACAATGAAATACAAAAATACGTGCTTACGTTATAGTCGTGACAGACAACAGCAGGGTAAAGTGTATCTGCCATCATTTCATGAATACCTTGTGGTAAGACTGTTACATGAATGTCACCACCAACTGAAGCACAACATACTTGATGTATGTAATGATAGAACACTGTATGTGTTGTCTGGGTGTACTAGTATTCATTTTGTAAGGGTGTATTCATTTTGTAAGGGTGTATTCATTTTGTAAGGGTGTATTCATTTTGTAAGGGTGTATTTATTTTGTAAGGGTGTATTCATTTTGTAAGGGTGTATTTATTTTGTAAGGGTGTATTCATTTTGTATTCATTTTGTAAGGGTGTGTTTATTTTGTATGTATTTATTTTGTAAGGGTGTATTCATTTTGTAAGGGTGTATTCATTTTGTAAGGGTGTATTTATTTTGTAAGGGTGTATTCATTTTGTAAGGGTGTATTTATTTTGTAAGGGTGTATTTATTTTGTAAGGGTGTATTCATTTTGTAAGGGTGTATTTATTTTGTAAGGGTGCAAATATCGGGGCCATAAGTGGCATTTGAGTACGAGTGTTACCTTTCATCCTGAACATGCCCCATAGCCACGAACAGTACTAAATATGTCCTGTGGGATTGTACACGTATACTTTCTCACGTAAGACAGGCAGTTGTAATGACTGTTTTTCAGCGATCTGGGGGCACTCATATTACTTTACTGATATTTCGTCTTTTACATTCAAAGGAATATGTTTTGGATATTTTAGGTTATTGAAGTGGTATGAACAGATTTCTGGAAACACATAAATCGTCAGTTTGGCCTGAGATCGTGGTTTGGTCCCATTTTACCGGCAGTGAAAGTGAAGGGAATGTGGGACACCCCTTTTGCATAAATGAGTATGTATTGTATCGAACACATTAAAGTTCCGTGTCACTGAACATCGATCTTGTCATATCCTTAAAGGTAATTACGTTTCACTACATGAATCCTGTCAGTAAAATATCTAAATGATTTTGACATTCCTTCAGTCAACAATAACCGCTCCCTCAGTTAGGGTCATAGGTGAGAATAAGTGGAACCATCAAATGTTGTCACATAGTACATATCAAGATTAATATTAGAACTGACTATATGATTTAGCAATGTATGTCACTAAGTGCTAAAGATGGTGTTTATAGCGCAGATATAGTCCGGGAAAACAAGGGGGCTTCCCCCGACACTTGAATCAGACTGTTGATTCGTACGATCTACATGTACACTGCCATGTATACTATTCACACTTTGCTAAGGATAAAATCACGGATTCAACAGAAAACTGTTACATGGGGTCAAATTAGGTATAAACATCTAAGCTTATTGTAAGCATGGATCCTAGGTTTCAGTATGTCATTGCATCTTGTGGATCCCATACCTGATGTTGACATCTTTTTTTTGTTGTGTCAATTATTCGTTCCAGGATTTGCAAAATGGTTGATTTTTGCCATGAAAACCATTTTTATGTTTACTCATGTATCAAGTGCTTAAGGGTAGATTAAATCTAAGGTTAGATTTGGGTGTTTACCCAAAGAGGTGTTACCATATCATTATTTATCCAGTTTTAAATGGATACAATTTCAAATTATAAATCTACGATGAAGTAAAGAATTTTGGTGATCCTTAGCAAAGTGTGAGTAGTATATTACGCAAGTGAGTATCGCGTACCTACACTTCCCCGAACGACCTTGTGGTATTATTATACAAAAGATAATGACATAGCAAAACAGAAAGTCACAAAGGTGGCAAATCTGCCAGCATGTCACCTTTTCGCTGTGATAATGATGTATGGTAACTTTTCACTTTTTACCGTACCTAGAAATCGAATGACCATTTTGTATGCATGTATGTATGTGTATGTGTGTGTGTCACAGTGTGTGTACAGTCAAACACCGATAAGTCGAACTTTGATGTGTCAAACATACGGCTGTCTCGAGTAAAAGCTTGCTTCCTGCGAATTCCATCTTTATTCATCGTTTTTGTTGTACCGATAAGTCGAATACTTTACTTCGATACAACGGCGTTTACTAACATGTCCATAGTGAGAATACGTATTCGATACAACATAGACAATAGTAACTACTCAATACAACATAGACAATAGTAACTACTCAATACAACATAGACAATAGTAACTACTCAATACAACATAGAAAACAGTAACTACTCATTGTCATTAGCAGTTGACACGTTCAATGGGGCTTTATAACATTCGGTACACAGACATTTTAGCCACTTGCCAACAGATGACATTATGGCCGATGACGATGTTCCCTAAACACTGAAATGTATAATCCATTTAATCACCCATCACCCACCAAGATATATTTAGTGTGTCTTATATAACATATTGATTCAAGTGGATTTGGAATTCCGTCTGATTTTAAGAGATGGAGTGAGTGAGTATGGTTACACGTTTTCATCAATAACACGGCAGAGGACACCACAAATGAGTTTCACATTTTTTACTCATGGTATCTGAAGGATAAAAGAACAAGAATGTGATATTGTACTTGTGAATATTAAAATGTGTTCGTGTGTAGAAGTAAGTGTTATTATTTACATTGCTGGCACCATGACATATAAAACCATGCACCCCTGAAGAAAGTAAACTTAAACAGTGTCTCATAAATCGGTTAAAGTGATTCGGTAACTGTAAGCAAAATAAATTATGTAACGACATATAACAAGTTAATACAGACATTTAATCACATTTTAGACCAATTGTTAGTGAACTGTAGACCAAGAGAAGAAAGTTGAGTGTTTATTTCCAATCATCAAGTAACAGATATCACATGTTATATTTGGCATTACACCTTCATTGTAAAGTACAGATTCTAAAGTACTGTCGGAAATGCTAGAAAAATGCTTTTTGACTTATATTTAAAATTCAGAGGTATTACAGTTACTTAAATAACAAATATCACTTCAAGAAACATCTACCTAATGTAGACCGAGGGAATAAATTTTGAGACATGCTCTAAAATGTGTTTTTACTGATGAAAATACCAAAAACTTAGAAAAATAAGCGGTAGAGGGACGTTATTTGATACAAACATTAACTGCCTGTGTTACGTCATCAGCATCCACGGTATCGACAGGTGAAATTGACACCTGAGCACACGCTCGGGCGAGGGGTCATCTCAATAGATGTTTTCTGCAAAATGTTGAATATGTGTACTTAAAGTATACGTATCGGTTATGTAAGGGATCATTTGTGTATGTGTGTTTGTTTTGAAATACCCATACGAATTACTGTACATTGGAAAGAATCCTATCACTTGTGTTATCTTATCGATTGATGGTAGAAATGTGCAACGTTTTAATAAATGTTTTGCATAGTATATTTCATTGAAAAAATATGGATGTAATTCGAACAGTTTAATCTAGTTGTGAACATTGGCCAAAGATTTAACGAAGTCACTGGTGTAGCTTCTTTAGAATATATATATTTTTCTTCTCATAAAGTTTGTAGACCGCCCGTCTAAGCACTCCCTTGTCAAAGTTGTCAAGGATGGTTTTACGTCCCGGTTTTGCATTTGAGACGGTCCCTGTCTTGTATGATTTGTTTACAATATTGTAAACTTGTTGATAAGACATGCCAACAGCTCTGCAAGTTCTGTAATAAACCCTTTCTAAACTAATGAAAGGTTTACCTCTGTCTTTTTTAAGCAGAAAAAACCTATAAACCTTTGCAACAATCGACTGCAAATCGTTGGCCATAGTGGACGTTGTGATAAAGATGTGCATGCATGACGGGAAACTTATTGATCAAGACTTAATATTTATATTATATTTCTTCAATAAAGAAACGATAATTAAGTAAAGTAACACAAACATTCAACATTTATTTGTTTAAGAAACACGTTAATTCATATTTTTACACCACCTGTATTATTAGCATAAATGTAAAGACTATTTCAGATTTCTGTTGTTGAACTCAAAAAATCTTAAGTTGCTGTTTTGGTACCAAAATCTCTCCTGTAAACTGCCCTTTAAATGCATGGGAATGTTAAATCGGTTGAAATAAAAATTAGGTAGACAATAGATGAGTTGATATATTGACAACATAGTACATTTTTCACTTTTATAAAGATATTAAGGCTAAAAAGCATTTTTCTAGCATTTCCGACAGTACTTTAGTACTTTTGTTGGGCTGAATCCCATGTGGCATTCGAACCCACACCCTCAGAGTCAGGACACAAATTTTAAAGTCAGCCGCCTAACCCGCTCAGACACCGCGACTTCCACATGACTTTGTGTGCTGGCGATTAGGTGCCTGACTCTGAGGGTGTGAGTTCGAATCCCTCTTCGGACTCAAGACAACAAAAGTACTAGAATCTGTACTTTACTGAGAAAGTGTAATCCCAAATATAACATATGTTAAATTTGACCACTGTCTAAATGGCATTGAGTAATTACAACAAGTAACACTCCAAAGGTTATGACAAAGGGCCGGGTACATGCCCTAGAAGCTTAAAGTATACCAACCACCACCACCACCCCACCCCCACCCCCCACCACCCACACCCACACGAATAACACACAAACACACACCACAACAAATCAAGGCCATGTTTCGCTTCTAGGTTTAGGGGTGGGCTCGTTATTGTTGAGCATGTCATATCCTGACTACTTTTCATTGCTGCAAAATTGTGTTAAAAGTCTGAAGTATATACGAAAATTGATAAGGGTGGGTGGGATAAGCAGATGTAGGACAGTGTGGTGCTGATGTTTGTCCCTGACCACCACCAGGGAGCAGAAGACACGGGTTCACAATATAATTCCAATTGCATAAACATGAAGTTGTTGGATTGAAACTAATCGTAAAAAAACCGTACAAAAACTGTAGCACAGAAATTGAAATTATTTTATTACTTGTCTATACAGAGTGATACTATACAGATTGTTGCATATAAGTATGTTTTGATGATCTCCATGGCGTTAGTTTAGCAGTGAATCATAGCTAAATAAGCACAAACGTATTTGGTCATGTGTTCACACACTCAGGGAGTGGTGTTTACGCTGTCAACCTATAGCCAGCCACTTTCAGCGAAAAGAGGTTAATCGATCGCTCTCCACCTACCGCCGTATACACTTCATTCAGTCTGGCGTATCTCTCGGGCTGGCTGGACGTGTTTCTCTGCTCTCGCTGACAGCAACCTGTAAGAGGAAACAAACATGTGTTTATACCGCGTTACAGAACTGTTTGTCATTATAACGCTAGCTGTCTCTGTAAGTGTGTATGGAGATTGTCCACCGGGCAGGTATTTGGACCCAGTAACAAATAACTGTGATGACTGTGGGGATATCTGTGAACATGCGGACATACAAGGAACTCAGGCGGACTGTCAACGACTGTGTTCGGGTAAGAGTCATCACAGGTGTACTCAGTTCGTGTCAGTTTTATTCGTGTTGCTGGTTGCAAAGAAGTGTGTGACAAGGACCCTTCATTTCTAATTGGTTTATTCACAGTTCATATTCTTCTATTATATTATAACCGTCTAGTAGGGGTAGTGTATAGTGGTCCCACTAGAGCGGAAGGTCGGCGGTTCGATAGATTGCCGTGTCATATATGAAATGGGTGTGTGAGTGAGTTTAGTTTTTCGCCGCTTTTAGCAATATTCCAGCAATAACACCAGAAATGGGCTTCACACGTTGTAGCCATGTGGGGAATTGAAACCGGGTCTTCGGCGTGACGATTGGATGCTTTAACCTATAGGCTATGGTGATCTACCTTCAGTTGCTGGGAGTCTATAGCCTGTTTCTACATTGTCTTGTTATTTCTAGTTAAAGTATTTTAGATTTAATTACTAGTTGTAAAGGGATATCTGTGATATACTTATAGTTTTACTGTTCTTCGTCAACAGGCTTTTAATTTCTAATTTTACTGATATATGATATAATAATTGATTGTTCTCGTCACGATATGGTTGAAGTATTGCCGATGTGACGATAAATAATAACTCACTCACTCACTCACTAGGCTACCCCACCGCTCCTTTGAAATGGGATAGAAACAGTTTACCTTTCTGGCCCTGGACTTGTAAGGATACAATAAGGACAGATAGTCAGCGAGTCAGTATATCAAATTAACCCAGTAGTTGTGTATTGTTTGTTAGACTCAGTGGCAGATAATGAAAAATGGCATTTCGTTTGACGGATACAAACGAACTATCCCCATCCTCTCCACCCCACCAAATGTCCTTTCTCCGACTAGCCTGACACCAGAGACCGTGTGTGGAAACACTTGTAGATTAAGGTTCCAATATATAACGAATATCTCGTGACAACTGAAATATATCAATAGGAATTGTAATATATTTCCAGCTGCCATTTAAATGTGCCATTAGTCTAAATGCCTGACATTGAGCAATTCCTACACTACAAAACGGCTATGCGTGTGTATAGTAGAGCTATAGATTTATGTGTAGCATCATGAACATATAAAACTGTGGTTGGTATCATCAGCTACTTGGAAGACTTCAAAGTCAAACGTATAATATAGTATCAATCAATGAACGTATTTATTGAGATTACATGAATAGGTAAACACATTCAATTCCAATTACAAGGAATTACTCTGCTCAGGTATCGTGATAGCAAATGTGTGATATTTCGCATTCATTTAAACATGTAAATGAACACTTGTGTATCAGGGTACCACCTGGATGGAGCAGCAACCACTCAGCTACCTCAGTGTCCTTCAGACCAGTACTACGACAGCGCCATATCACGGTGTGACTACTGCAGTGTCATATGCGACAACCACGTCATACAGGGAACAACTGCCCAGTGCAAAGAAAAATGTCCGCCATGTGAGTGTCATTTATATATTATGATCTAATACGATATTCACCTTCAAAATATCATTTTATTTACACACACACACACACACACAGAACTTTAACATACAGTACATTTACGTGCAGTGCTTTCATTACATGTTTCACTGGGCACGTGTTAAGAAACTGTGTTATAATTTCAGTTTAACTATAACAAATGTTTTAAACGATGTGCCATTATGCTACTTAGATAGACAGTGTGTCTTCCACGACACTATGTCAATATAACGCCACAAATGACTAACAGATGATATTTACACATCAAGCTACATTTTCCGAGACCGCTTGAAGCTCCAAACTATCGATAGTAAAAGTGCAAATTATGCTAAGTCATTTCTCCCAGATACAGTAAGATTGTGGAATTGTTTGTCTACCGATTATAGAGAAACGGCTACTTTGGGTAGTTTTAAGAAACAGATTAATGGGTCAAATAATAATAATAGTCAAAATTACTTCAATTTAAGCTTTGGAACAAGATTCTGTCAGATTATCCATTCACGCCTCAGGCTCGGTTGCAGCGATTTAAACGCACATAAATATCAACGATTTATATCCTCAAATCCCTCTTGTTCTTGTGGCTACTGTTATGAAGATCCAATTCACTATTTCTTTTCGTGCGTTAATTACACTGACATAAGACATAAAATGCACTTCTATACTAAAGGATATGACATCAAATCAATACTATACGGCCACTCTCATGGATCTACTAAAGGTAATCTTGAATTATTAGAATCTATCCATTCTTTCATTGTACTGTCAGGCAGATTTGAGTTGTAATATATACTAGTAAACGAATTGCACTTACTATTAAGTATCTTCCGACACTAATGGTTCTAACATTAAAAGTGGCATGTTACAGTTTATGATTGTTACATTTCCAGAAAGCTATTGTTTATTGTTTGTTGATATCATGTTTTTCTCCGTACGATTATTATATCTATAATATATCTGTATTCCGGAGCGGTATTCATATAAGCACCATACTGCTTGTTTACCAATCCGGTTCCTCTTTTGGAAATAAATATGTTTAAACCAGATGATATCAAGTGAAAGAATTTATGATAAGCTTTTAACGGATTTATCCTTTCAGTAAGTGGTGCCCAATCGTATGATAATAATACATTCTAAACAATATTAGTCATGCTTGTATTTCAGACTTTGAACCGAAAGTTATTGAAAGCCAACAACTCACACCCTTAGTTATAACTATCTGCTGTATACTCGGTCTGTGTCTTGTCTTGGTGAGCGTGTATGGCCTGATGGTGTGTTTCTGTGAACATCGTCTTCCATCTCGACTACAGCGTTGTCTCCCCTGCCTTATTCGTGGCTACAAGAAACCGGTAGAGTGCACCGAGTGTCACACAGATAGCCCCGGATCCGCATCACTGACATCACTTAGTGGTTGTAAGTATGTGCTAAGTCAGGTTGTGTAAAGTCTGTTACTGAACAGTTCGGTTTAGTGCTTTAAAGTCCATGGTCATATAACACACATGTATATCATTCAAATGGGTCAGGCTGCACATGTATTGAATAATTCTATTGGTACTGAATAACATTACAATACAGTTCTAATTTTGAATGTAATATACATATATTTTGACAGATGAATCATATTCACAAGTATTTAACAATGGATTTTAGTCTCATGTTGTGACGTTGGTAAGGAATACACATTTAGAAAGTGTTATATACTTGGGATTACACTTTCTAAGGGAAGTACAGAATCTAGTACTCTGGGGGTTGAGTCCCATCCGGGATTCGAACCCACACTCTCAAAGTCAGCCATCTAACCACCTGTGGAAGCCGCGATGGTTGAGTGGATGACTTTGTTGACACCAACCTAGTGTCCAGACTTAAACCTCTGACACTTGGGTCATCTAGAGCTAGTTTGTATGTAGCATCCTTGGAAATTACAAGAGTGATGAAGTAATTAGTCCGTGAATATTGTATATGCAGATTACCCTCGTACTTGTATGTGTTTCATTTGTAGACGAAGTACCCACCCCAGGGATTGCAACAATTCAAATGCCAAATCCAGAGTTTGGCTTGACAGAGCTTCAATACCAGCGTCAGTCATCAGGGGATGGCAGCAATGCCTAACCCAGGTTGAAACTTGTATCTCACGTACCCATACGTGTCTGATAGCAATGTCAGTGCCATGGCCAAGCTGATGAAGACAGTAAGGAGAGAAGCTGGGTACCTTCACAAAGATGTTACCTGCCATTCAATGAACAGCTGGTCTCTTTGAAAAGAAGGAGATGTTACAGAATACTGGTTAAACCCAACCTGCAGACTACTGCTCCCCTGCTGGACAGGTCTCACAGGGAATATTGTGTGTTTGTGAGTGACTTGCTCACTCTCCAAATAGATTTCACTTCAAGAAATCCTCCACTTGTAAAATTGTGGCATGCAGACATAATGACTTTATTTTCATGAACTGAAATCCGAAGATTAAGTTAAATTACTTGCAAGTATTCATTTCACAGACTTCATAAAATATGAAAATGATTATTAATTATAATCTGATTTTCCGATCTCCGATATACAGTACTTGTTCTTAAAGTTGTAGTTTGTATATCTTGTGTCTCTGTGAATTAAGAAGTGTCAGTTTAGACTCACGCATGTGAGACACTGCTGTTATTTGTTATATTTCCCTGTCAAACACATTCGTGCCTTATGGAAGGATTCTATTGTGTCACATTTAGACAATGGGGGAGCGTGTCGAGAGTGTTATTAATGCCAGATCGGGTTTCCAAGTCCTACAGCCTTGTGTCTGGGAACGTCAGGACAGTTGAAAAGAATTGAATGTCATTCTTCTGATCTTCGTTATCTCGTTTACGAAGTTCTTTTTCCCAACAAAAATGTTACCTAAATCTAGTAATAAGAACATCGAAAATAAAAAAAAAAAAAAAAAATAATCAATATTGATCTATCATTCCAGCATACATAGCAAACAACACAACATGCCATTTATATAGATACTGGGAAATTGTGTCAGCGTCATTTAGATGAACCACATTCTAATTTTGAACGAAAATATTTTTAGCAAAACAAGTGATTGAGTCTTTGAAGGGCATTTAGAAGTGGTACACATAACATATCTACCTAGCGCTTGGGAACATATCTACCTAGCGCTTGGGACTTATTAATTTAATTTACCATCACTGCTGGTCTCTTTGTATTTATTATTATTAGGTCTCGCTTCCATTTGTTTTCTTACAACCCCGTTATATGCCACTATTGTTAACTACGCCTGGATTAACAATCCCTGGCTTCCTTTTGTCCATCCACCCAGTTAGTGCTAATTATACCCCCTGGCTTCTATTTGTTTTTCTTATCAATCAGGCCTGGATTAACAATCCTTGGCTTCCACTTGTCCATCCACCAATTAACTACTGGCTACCTTTGTTATACTGTTGTTGTTTCAATATGTACATATATAGCTGTTTGTTCCTAATTGTTTCATTACCTGATGAAGGAGTAAGAATATACTTCGAAACGTCGTGACCCTTCACAATAGAGAATTTGTCATCCATAAAAACTCTTGTCTTTAAAAGAAGTGATTGGGTGTGAATCTCATACATTTTGAGACATTTTTGTTTGCAAGGAGTTATGCATTGACATGTACCTAACATCAGTTACCAATTTATGCATTCCATTCACTCCTGTAAATTTGTAAATAGTGTGTGAGTGTTGTTCCCAATCTGTTTTGTTTTGAAATCTGATATGCCTTTCTACATATATCAGTGTATATAATGATATTAAATAATTATATTTTCACCCTGGGTTATGTTATAGCTTGTGCTGCATGTGCAATAAGTGCTGTATGATGTCGCTCGGTGTGACTGGTGTGCAATTCAACTGAATATATGTTGAATAATGTGACGTGAAATAAGGAATACCTTGGCTTGGTGTTAGCAGATATAGAAGCTTGAAAACAATACATCTTATAATCGTAGAAATACAAATATGTGTGTAATATTACACACTGTATCTGCACACTCATGACCATTTTTATGAGAGATCATATGTAAAATGTGGTTACGGTCGAAATAATGGACTAGGTTCGGGACCAAATGCTATGTGTTATGGGCCAAATTAACCTGAGTATTTGATATGAGAGTTAAACATTGATGGGTTTTGAATAATGCTAACCGTGTTGTCGAGGGAACAATAAAAGACCGACAACTGTTTAGTTTAGGATAGGGGATACGAAGAATACAGAGGTCTGGCCATTCAATGGGATCACATTAATACAAGAGAGCAGAGATTTCCCAAAGTATTGACAACATGGATTCATGAGATTGGGATAAAAGCACATTTCCGTATTGCGGGCAATTGAACACGACCAGCCAAGTCACGGAACCAAGCAACTGGATCAGCTATACATGAGTACAAATCGATGTTAAATATCTTAAATTACCCTTTCAAAGTAGAATTTGGCTAACAAAATATAGAACAACAAATCATAGATTACCAATAGAAACAGGGCGCTGGTTAAATATTTTGAAAGGAACCCGACTTTGTAATCTTTGTAATCATGCTATATGTGACGAATTCCATTTTTTAGTAATAACGTGATTATATACCTCTGAATGGCTTTATTTAACCAATCACAATCCAGTATTTAGTGAAATCATGGTAGAATATTTGACATAAAACATACCGTTCCCTATTCTGCAACACTTGTGGGTAAGTGTGAATGGTTGCATATGCAGTAAGTGCTGCATGATCTCTTTTACTTTACTCATGTCACATTCCCTTGAGTATATAATGAAACCCTTGGATTAATGTCACATTTAACAGATACAGAACCTCCAACACTGAAACAAGAAACAACAGAACTTTATCGGCCTAAAGAAACAGATTTGGAATCAGTCATGATTCATGAATTAATATCACAGACACCCATGAGCATTTTGATGGATGATATTGTTATAGTGATGGCCGAAATCATGAGCTTGCCCTTACCCTGAACATCAGCTTGTGACCAAACGCTGGGTGTTATAAATTATATCAACCTGAACATTTGAACACAGTTAAGTAGTCATTGGAATAATGGAAAATGGAGTGAGTTTGCTGGTGTCTGTCGAAGGAACGGAATGGGATTGACAACTGAATTGTGTAGGGTGTGGGGTTCACTATGCAGGTCTGGGCATTAAATATGATCAAAATAATATATGACAGCAGAGTGTGGTGACAGGAAATATTATTGTCACACTGGCTGTTAAAATATCATACAAATCTCATAGGGGTGAAGGAGAATTGATTGGGAGGTAAACACCAAGCACCCCCTACATGGCAGCGTATTTCCGTTATGTACAGGTTTACTGACAATGAAACGTATCAGTACATGTAAAAAAACGACAAAACCCTTTCAACTTTCATGATAAATCTCTCCTTACTGCAGCGTCGATCGAGGATACTGATACCACGAACACTATCGGTTTGGGTTTTTTTGGGGGGAAGGGTTGGTTGGGGGAGGGTAACTGAATGAAGGACTGACGTTATGTACACAGGCTTCATCTATTCACCTGACTTCATAATTATATTCACGCGCCCAACCGGCGAATAACAACCGGCTGTTTTCTAAAGACGTGCGTGAATGATTCAGTTACAACCGCCACATGCCACTTTTAACAAACCGCGTATGTCAATCATACATAACTGTGTGACGACCGACACTCCCAGGTCATATCCACAATATACCATTGGTTAATCACACACCGGAGCAGCCAATCATATCTGTTGATTTTCCTAGCCGGTATAGAAACTACTAGAAGAATTGTGTAATCTTTCCCACGAGTTCATTCTAACGTTTCAGGTCAGTGTAGAATGTCATGACAATAGGTATGTGCCGGTTGCTGGTGTCAGGACTTCTGTGGGGTAGCTACGCCTGTCTCGTTTACAGCTCTGAGGAGTGTCCCATAGGGACATACAGGGACTTTGGTTCTGGAAACTGTGACCCATGTTCAGATATATGCCAGTATATGAAGATAAAGGGAACTGAAGACGACTGCCGGAAATACTGTCCCGGTATGAATGTGTTATTTATATTTAGATTTAAGTCTATCCTGTTGGGAGTTCTGCCTACAGTTGAGTATGAACAAGATGAAAGTGTAACTATCATTGCCATGAACTACAGGTCCTTTAAAAGTTAATTTCCTTCTTTTATTAACCACGTTTCTTATCATCTCGTTCGCCCGATTTCGATACGATGTATATTTTGACTCTCAACATAGTATGCATATACAATGGAGGTTTCCTCGTCTCCACAAAAGATGAGTAAAGAGGGTAAAAACGAAATTCGACGGAAATAGTTTATCCCGACTCCACTTTATATATTTCTTGTGTTGCAGTTGACATTTGACACGCAATTAGGGATAAAGTAAAGTGAGTAAGTTGAAATATAACTAATATGAAAGAGACGAGAGAGATTTCGAATGCATAATAAATACAAGTTGTAATAATTGCAGTCAATATAGGAGTGAGTATTACAGATGTAAATCTAAAAACTATTTTACTTTTGAAGTCAATACAATATAAAAACAGACTACATGTCGCCAACAACTGAAAGTAGATAACCACACCAGGAACTATAGGGACTTAAAGACGGCTTTTGTTACCTGCATAGACCCTAGCTGGATTAACATCTTCCCTTCTGCTGTTGGCGAATATGAGACATTTAGCCATAGCTAAAACGAACACATATTCTACGAATGAAAATGTTACAGAAATAATACACTTTGAAAGACGTGGTCTCATGTGCACTCTCAGGAGGACATAGTGATAAAGAGTTCCAAACCGGGTACCTTGTCATGGATGCAATCGCGTTCTTTTACAGATGCCTACACACTGAACCTTGCGAGTGAATCGAAAGTTGGTATGTGTCCTTTTCTTAATTTCTTATTATGACAAGAAATACACTATAATATAATCCCGCTATTCATAATTATGATGTTTCCCATGGTCATGCTTGTATTTGGGTTTTAGATACATCTAGAGGATAAGTATTGTCACATCAATGACAGATGTTCTACTTAAGAAGACAATGAATGTTCAGTTCTTGTAACATGTGTATGGTGCTTTCTGTTGGTATTCATAAACATAAAAGCACATGATTTATGAAGAGTGAAATGATGCTATTTCGTTTCACAAATAGGCAATAAAGATTGGACCAAGAAGACAACAGGCGACGAGGGAAGCATTCTCCCTGTAGTACTCCCTGTGTTAGCAGCAGTAGTGGTGGTCAGTGTGGTGATCGGGATCGTCGTTTACCGTCGTCGGCGTGTCAGTCGCAGACAAAGACCTATTCAACCTATTCACGATGACACACTGGTAGAACTTCCTTCAATTCAATGCACTGAAGAATCCGACAGCAGCTTCCATGTAGTTCCAATAGGTAATACTCATTTGGGATGTATTAAAATCACATCATGCTGTTTTTATAAAGCCATTAGTACTTCTTATTGAGCAGTCTATGCTCTATAGGGAACACAAAACATACATTAATGATCATCCATGCATAACCGTTTGTTTTAAATCTAACACGCATGTAACTACTACATCTACATAAGGTACACAAAGTATTATTTACAATAATTATTGTTTTCAGAGGAACAACAGTTACCGCTACCAGCAGAAGAGGAAACCAAATTTCCCACGGCATTCTCTGATCTCCCCTACAGTGCAAGATATGACACTACTCAGCACGGATCGTACTGACCCAGAGGGTTTTACTGCTTGTGTATTGGTGTATTGACATCTCCACAGAATTTCGGTGGCTAGATGATCACTAGTATAGCCTGACTGTCCTGTCCTGTGTGCCAAGGAGTGAAGATCGAGAGTTTCCTGGCATGCACCTTGATGCTAAGGAGACGAATTCATAATGATATCACCTGATGCATGGCATTGCCATACATTGAGAGAAAAGACTATATTGAGTCATATTGTCTTATTGGTGGAACAAAGACACAGTCCTTTACAAGATGGCATGTCGTAGAGCCTGCCTTATTATTATTCCGATTATTGAATGGGGATGTATTCTCGTGTCACACGTCTTTAGAAGGTCTGAATGAGGAGGTCGGTGACCTGATGCTGATAAAAACGCAGCAAATGGTCCTGCTTGTAGTCAGCGTGTGTGCGGCATGGGTTGACACTAAGTGGTGCACGGCAAGGCAGCACAATCAGTTGAATGTGTATATAAGACCGTCTGTCAAATCGTCTCAGGTATAGTTCACGACATTGCCATTGTCATTTTTGAATATTGTCGTTTGAATATGAACAGATGTAGTGTGACAAATATGTATAGGAACAAAAGAAGTTTCCTAACCTAACAGTGTATCATTGGCATGTCTGATCTAGTTTGGAGGTGAGGTTTTATATCTGAACACACGATTGATGAATGAAGAAACAAGTGATAAATTTACATAGCATTTTTCGTTATAACTCTGTCTTACTTGAAGGTATCTGCAAATTAAACATACATATACCCCTCAAACAGAAAGTTGTGTAAAAGATGGTTTGTTTCCTTTACCTAGTAGTGAGTCATTACATTGATGGTGTCGATGAGAGTGTAGGTGTATCGGTATCATGACGTCACAACTTACAACTAAAAACTACCCGTGAATATCCGGGTAAGAACTGATCCTCAGCAACTCATGCTTGTGGCAAGAGGCGACAAACGGAATCAGGTGGTCAGGTTCGCTGACTTGATTGAAATATGTAGAAGCATTCCAGTTGCGTAGTTCGATTATGAGGATGTCAATCACTGGATTGTTTGACCCACTCTCGATTGTTTGCATACCACCGTCATACAGTTGGAGAATGGCTAAACATTATATTTACATTGATATAAGTAGTTAAACATCTGATTGTATCTGACATACAATCATAACATACAATATCATGCTAGATTAATGTTCTCGGACATCACGATTGATAAATCCCGAGACATCTGGAGAAATGTACACACCAATACGAGAGATATCTCTGTAAGATAAACACGGGTGTTATCAGACTTACAAATACAGAGAGAGGTTCTGAATAATGCCTATATTTGTACTAGTTACCATGGCAATAAAACCGATTTGTTTTCTATATTTCTGGCTCTTAGTAGCATTGAAAGTCATATTATGACATGTGAAATACTCAAGTCATTGGCACTGTTCAATAAAACATTGGACTACTAGAACTGTTATAGTCACATGATAAAAGCTGTCGTACTTCACAATACAGTAGTGTTAACCTGTGCCAGCTGAGCGATACGTTGTGTTTTAATAAATCTAATATCACATTGTCAGTGTCACATTATCTGGAGATCAGTTCTATCATTGCTACTCAAGCAGTGTGTGTCCGTACCATGGCCAATTGGAGGCAGGTTCAATAACATATTTAGATTGGTTTGTTGGTATCCAAATCCACGTCGTGGATTTAACAAAAGTGGTTATTCACATGTGTGACTTTCACTGTCCTCCCACATTAACTGACAAGATACATAAATATGTTTGTAGGAACTTACTACTCGTGTGACTACAGCCACCATGCCTCGACAAACCGTTTAAGTCACTCTGGTATGCTAAAATGATCGTAATACGTTAAAGGAAATTGTTGGAAAATTTGTTAAAGGTTCACAGGTACACTGTTAGATACATTGAGGTAGATTGAAAAACACAGAGTCAGTTTCACTCCTACATGTATCATTAGTTTCTTCGGGGATTAAAATCATATTATTCCCTGAAGAAATGAATGAAATATGAAGGAGTGAAATTGGCTCTATGTTTTTTCAATCTCCTTGAATATAATTTTTTTATACAAGTTGGGGTAGTACGAGTGGTAGTGAAGTTCATCACCTGTCACTTCATTCCAATAATTTAACATTTGTGGCTGTTTAATGGTTTGGTTATTTGCTGTAAATCAAATATTAAATATTTGTTTTTATGAATAACATAAACAACTTTGATAAGTTAATGTTTATGAAGTAATGTAAAGCATAGCCGACATAGGCTGAGTGATATTCCAATCTCAGAATGTATAGTTCATAATTATTCACACAATATGGAAGCCCTCTGGCGTTTCAGCAAAGAAAACTGTGTCTCACAATAATTTGATTGTTTTATGTAATCAAATTGCAAAACGTATGATGACTCAGTCATGTCTGATCCAACACACATGCAACAAATTCCACAGATCAGAAATGATTATGGGCTGTAGTGGATATACTGCGGTCGGGTAAAAACAATTGTAATTCTGAAACTATATATCCCGAACACAAGCCTTCAACTTTCTGGATCAAAATGGCGTTGATTCAAATATATATAAAACGGCAGTGCATAAGAATCCCCCTTCTTGATTGGTGTAACCGGCAAAATAGCTGTTATAATTAGATGACAACAGATGTTCGCGACTATTAAGCCCACTTCCAAGGTCAGCTCCAACTGGGCAATATCCCTCACCACCCCCAACCACCACCCTTCCATCACACAACCTGTATTTTAAGATATGGTATAAAATATGAAATGAAATCAAGTATCATTCGTTAAGTAAATGATGCTTTCATGTTAAAGTACGGAATTTAAAACAATGTGAAATTGTAGGGGAGAAATGATCAAGGGAAGAAATAAGACAAGACATTGGCAAGGGTGACAGGCGGGGGTTATCAAATGTTATCTGCGCCTAACTGATTCGTTGATTGGGCATGCCCATTCTCTGTTGATGTTGCTCTGGATGTCACGTCTGTGTCAGTCGCGTCAGCAGCGTTTACTTTTGAGTCAGAGATCATGGACTTACAACAATATCGGATTCCTTAGGGATAAAGGTTTCCAGCATGATAGACACAACGTTTCACTAATGAAAAGAAAGCGTTCAGATAATCCATGGCGAGGGTCATTTTAACACAGGACATAACTATGTCCATAAAATAGAATAGAATAGAATAATACTTTAATGCCTTTTCAGGAATTTGTGTTACATCAGCAGTGCTACTGACACATTAGAGAGATACCAAACATATTTACATAAATTCTTTGATTTAAGTATCTTCACATTTGTTTAAAAGAGATATGGTACTTGGAATAAAGGATGTACGGGCTCTCTTAGTTTTCACAATTGGAACTTTGTAGCGGCGGCCTGAAGGGAGGAGGTTGTATTCCGAATTTAAGTAGTGAGTACGGTCAGATATGATTTTGACAGCTTGATTCACGATTTGCCCCTCATATATTGATGATAAACATTGAAATCTGACTCCAGCGATTTTACTTGCAGTGTTAACAATTTTGTCCTTTTTAGATTTGAGATGAACTGAGAGAGACCCGCACCAACAATGGTCATACATCGTCATATTAATGTCCAACATGACATACTTAAAGTAACATGCTGGTCTGGTATTGTGTTCAACATTCACAACGATGTGTTGTGCGTGTGTGCGGGTGAGAGATATATGGAGGAGATATTTCATGTCACAACTTTTAAGACACAGATCTAGAGTGAGTGAGTGAGTTTAGTTTTACGCCCCACTCAGCAATATTCCAGCTATATGGCGGCGGTCTGTAAATAATCGAGTCTGGACCAGACAATCCAGTGATCAACAGCATGATCGTCGATCTGCGCAATTGGGAACCGATGACATGTGTCAACCAAGTCAGCGAGCCTGACCACCCGATCCCTTCAGTCGCCTCTTACGACAAGCATAGTCGCCCTTTGTGGCAAGCATGGGTTGGTGAAGACCTATTCTACCCTGGATCTTCACGGGTTACACAGATCTAGAGACTTCGTATTACCTTTGAATTTATTACAATGGAACATTAAAAAATATTAAAGTCTCTTAGACAATTAGCAGTGGTCCTTTAAGTGAGCGGTTAATGGCATGGGCAACGCCAGTCCCAACTGAAATGATGAACAATACGCCAGGTCATTTGATTATCTACACCGTTATGGCGATTGTTATATTTCAAGCATTTAAATACTTTAAAGGTTATCTCGGGTTATCTTAAAAATCGAGATAACACGTAATATGAAATTGACTTGTCGCTGTAACAAAATCTTTCCAGATTATCATCATCATTACGTTTTACAGATTAAATAGTTTGCAGCAGAAAGGGTTCGGGTGATAATGGCATAGTCATTTTTATTTACATTATTTTGTACTAATACTGCAAAAATAACAATTTAGCCAACAAGTATATCCTTTATAAATAATGTATATAATCAAGTATACACACAATAAATATAAATATATAATTCATTATGTTGTCACAGTAAAAGACATTTGTTTTCATATTTGACAAATTGTCTTGAACACCTGAATAGACATATGTAGGTATATCTTTGTTCACCACGTTTATTGACAAATGTCCCATCTGTCAAGGAATGATGTTTTTCATGTGGGATAGTTGTGGTATCGTGTTTAAATCAAGTATTTATATGAAAGTGAGAATGACAGAACAAACAGCTTTGCTATGTTAAACGATTTCATTACTTGTCAACATTAAATGAACTGACTTGAGCTATGCTCTATGAACGAGAACCTTGGTAGAAGTTATTTGTTGACTCAAACTGTAAATCTGCATAAATGTCGTACCTAACAATGAACAGCAGCTGTTTTCGATGCCAGGTGTGTGGTGCTATGGTAATGTGGTAATCGACATGTGATTCTTGACTATCCTCCCATGTCAACTGACAAGTGTCATACAGTTGTTTCGGGGGGAACTGATAAGAATACAACCATACATGTCCAGCCATACCAGTCGATAATCTCACTTTGTCACTCTCCTTTCATCATTTCAACATTTATCAGTTTACTGTTAAACCAATGTAAAACACATCCTGATATAATAATCATGATAGCGGTATAACAAGTTTGTCTGATAAACAGCTGTACCCCCAGGCTTAGGTTGCAATACACTGTTGTTAATGTATTGTATCAAATGGATATGTGCATACGTGCTGTCAGAAGAAAAATGACGTACACAGTGTGTGTGTCTTCCTTTCATCCTCATCTGAAGGTGTGAAATGATTCAAGAATATGAAACAGTGCCTTTCTGACTCCAGTGAATCTGTTTCTCAGCAAAGTATATCTGTTTACTTGTGCCAGTTGAGCGTCAGTGTCACATTATCTGGAGATCAGTTCTATCAATGCTACTCAAGCAGTGCGTGTCCGTACCATGGCCAATTGGAGGCAGGTTCAATAACATATTTAGATTGGTTTGTTGGTATCCAAGTCCACGTCGTGGATTTAACAAAGTGGTAATTCACATGTGTGACTGTTCACTGTCCTCCCACATTAACTGACAAAATACATAAATATGTTTGTAGGAACTTACTACTCGTGTGACTACAACCACCATGCCTCGACAAACCGTTTAAGTCACTCTGGTATGCTAAAATGATCGTAATACGTTGAAAGAAATTGTTGGAAAATTTGTTAAAGGTTCACAGGTACACTGTTAGATAGATTAAAGTAGATTGAAAAACACAGAGTCAGTTTTACTCCTACATGCATCATTAGTTTCTTCAGGGAGTAAAATCATATTATTCCCTGAAAAAATGAATGAAATATGTAGGAGTGAAATTGGCTCTATGTTTTTCAATCTCCTTGAATATAATTTTTATCCCCCAGCATGTAATGCGGGGGGATATAGTCGAAGCCTCGTCCGTCTGTCCGTCCGTCCGTAATCATTTTGTTTCCAGAGCATAACTCAAAAACATTTCAATATTTTTCAACAAAACTTGGTAGATATATCAAACAGAACCTTAAGTGGTGCCTTTTGCTATTAACAGATTTTTGTCATTTTAATTTTTCTCGGTTTCCATGGAAACGATTCGGACTTAGTCCCAAAAGGGAGGGGTGGGTTTTGTTTCCGGAGCATAACTCGAAAACTTCTTTATATCTTTTAGCAAAACGTGGCAGATATGTGAGGCAGATGCCAAAGTGGTGCCTTTTGCTATTTGGCAGAATTTTGGCATGTTTATTTTTCCCGGATTTCATGGAAGCGATTCGGACTTAGTCCCAAAAGGGAGGGGTGGGTTTCGTTTCCGGAGCATAAGTAGAAAACTTCTACATATCTTTCAGTAAAACTTGGCAGATATGTGAGGCAGATGCCAA